GGCTGTGGCCTCTCCAGCCGCAGCTGCTCATGGCCCTGGGTCTGCAGGTGTGGGACGCCGTGGAGGGCACACTGCACTGCAGCAGCGAGCAGGTCACCTCGGGAATCACTGCCCTCGTCTTCCTGGACAGAAGGTGAGCGCAGACATCCTCCTCGGCCCATGTCCCGGCCTTGCTGGCCAGGCCGCACTGAGGACGCCCTCACTCTCCTCACTGCATGTCCCTGCAGTCCCCCTGGGGCAGCAGGAAGCTCTTAGAGTCGGGCCGACACCCACTGAGCTCCAGGTCCCCGAGCCCCTGTCGGCACCCGAGCCCCTGCCGCCACCCAAACTATAGCCACAGGAGGTGAGGACCGTTTTCCTTCTTTCCCTCCTGAGGTCCAAGCTCTCTGGCCTCGATGCCGACTTCCTGAGTTTCTTGGCTGCATTTTCAGTTCCAGAAAAATGCGCTTTCAGAAGAGCCTGTTTAAACCGTTCTTTCCCGTTGCTGCTGGCCCGTTCCTCTCCCTCCCAGCAGTTGTGGCGTAGCCGTCCCTTCTGCACACTCTCTAGGGGCGGCTCTCAGCCCTGGCAGTGCCTCCTGCTGCTGCCCCTGCCTGCCCCAGGCCGGCTCTGCCTTCCAGGGCCTGACCATGTGGCACCGTCCACGCTAGAGCTGGAGCAGGAGAGGAGCCACTTGCCTTCAGCTCTGATTTCTGCTGGCCGCCGTCGCCATTCCTGCCACCCCCGGCTTCTGGCACAGGCCCTGGCCCATGTCCTGCCCTCCAGCCCTGGAGGTCTTCCCTGCTGGGTTCCTCTGCTTTAGGGAAAGCCCGCATGCCCCCACCAGCCTCCGGAGCTCCTGGCCCTCCCATCCACAGGCAGTGGCTGGAAACATGCGGTGCCGTTGGCTGTGGGCGTCAACTTGGACCCTGCTCACTTCCAGGCTTTGGGGCCACTGGGCACATGTCCACGTGGGCCTGGGATTCTGAAGAAAATCCCGGTTTCGTTGTGGGAAAATAAATGGAGGGGGTGGTGCTGGCTTCTGTGCGACTCCTGTGGCTCCGGCCGCGCAGGCCCTCCGCGTGCTGGTCTCTGATTTGCACGCTCCCACGGTACGCCCAGGTATCACACGGATTAACTCCTTTCCTCGGGACCGCCCGTGAGGCGGTGCTGCTGCTCCCATTTCACAGATGAAGCACTGAGGCAGGTCATGGAGCTGCCCCCTGGGCCTCTCCCGCACCTCTCCCCAGCCCGGCCTCCCCTCGGGCTCCCTGCGGAGCGGAGCCTGTCCAGTCTGGGCTCAGGGAGCCACCTGGCGTGCTGTCCTTTCAGGATTGTGGCTGCCCGGCTCAACGGCTCCCTGGATTTCTTCTCCTTGGAGACCCACACTGCCTTTAGCCCCCTGCAGTTCCGAGGTCAGTGGCCTGGCCTGGGCAGGTGCGTCTGAGTGTGGGTGAGGGGCCGCCTGCCAGGGGCTGACCCTCCGCTGGCCTGTTCTCTCCAGGGCAGGGCAGCTCCCCCGTGGCCCCTGTGTACAGCAGCAGCGACAGGGTGGCCTGCCGCCTGACCCACACTGTGCCCTGTGCACACCAGAAACCCATCACGGCTCTGAAGGCAGCTGCCGGGCGCCTCGTGACCGGGAGCCAAGACCACACTCTGAGGGTGAGTGCGGGCCCGTCTCAGGCACTGGCGTGACAGAGCGCAGGACATGGTGGTTTGGGGTCAGGGAGAAGCTGCAGGTGCCCTCGATGTGCTATGGGAGGGATTTCCTGGCTAAAGTGTAATTTGGAAAAACGGAGACCGGCACCTGATGCCCATCCCCCAGGTGTTCCGTCTGGAGGACTCGTGCTGCCTCTTCACACTGCAGGGCCACTCAGGGGCCATCACAGCGGTGTACATAGACCAGGTGAGGACGCGGGCGGGTGCCGGAGAGCGACGTGGGCCACCGCCGGGGCCTGGGGCCCCCCTGGTGGACACCCAGCTCCTGGCTCGCTCCCCTAGACCATGGTGCTGGCCAGCGGAGGACAGGACGGGGCCATCTGCCTGTGGGACGTGCTGACCGGCAGTCGGGTCAGCCACATGTTCGCCCACCGTGGGGACGTCACCTCCCTCACCTGCACCACCTCCTGCGTCATCAGCAGCGGCCTGGACGACCTCATCTGCATCTGGGACCGCAGCACAGGCATCAAGCTCTACTCCATCCAGCAGGTAGGCGGGGCCCGCGGGCTCTCGCGGTTCAGGGAGGGACTCCAGACACTGAGCCTGTCCTGTCCTTGCCTCTAGGACCTGGGCTGCGGGGCCAGCCTGGGGGTCATCTCAGACAACCTCCTGGTGACCGGTGGCCAGGGCTGTGTCTCCTTCTGGGACCTAAACTACGGGGACCTGCTGCAGACTGTCTACCTGGGCAAGAACAGCGAGGCCCAGCCCGCCCGGCAGATCCTGGTGCTGGAGAACGCCGCCGTAGTCTGCAACTTCGGCAGCGAGCTCAGCCTGGTGTACGTGCCCTCGGTGCTGGAGAAGCTGGACTGAGGGCGGGCGGGGGCCGAGGGCTCCGTGGAGCCAACGCCCTGGACCGAGTCGGGGTGTAGCGCGTGGCTGTCCTGCCTCAGGACGGGAACATTAAACTTTGTACAAAACACACCCGCTGGGGCCTTGTGAGCAGTTGTGCTTCCTCCACGAGTCCCTCCCCCCGTGCCTCCCTCCAGCACAGGTTAGGGCCTGAGCTCGGCGGCTCCAGGCAGGAGCCCTACAAGGAGCGTCGGGGGCAGTCAGGCGGGGGAGGCCTCCGAGCCCCCCCAAGGTGTGGGAGGACGGGTGGCCCCAGCTCACCCACCCACCCACGGCCATGAACGGTGCTGGGTGGTAGGCTCCCTCTTGGAGGCAGCAATGGGCAGACATGGCCACAGACAGGTTGGTTTATTCCTTCAGCAGCAAAGAGCTGGAAAAACGTCAGGTCCCACAGTAGCAGGACCCGCCTAAGGCCTGCGACGTGTCTGCACCCCATAGGGGTGCGGGCTGGACCAGAAGGGCTGAAGGCAGCAAGGACAGGAGGAAGAGACCCGCCACCTCAGGAGGCCCTGCTGGGCGCAGGCAGGTGGGCGGCGGGCGAGACGTAGTGTGAGGACCAGGCGGGCAAAGCCTACTCAGGTCTTGTTGAGCGTCCAGAGTGGATCCAGAAGGCTGAGGGGGTCGTCGGCGGGCGGGGCAGCCCGCAGCCCCTGCCCGTTGTGGGCGTGCAGGAAGTTCTGCTTGCTCATCCGCTGCTTTCCCCGCAAGGAGCTGTCCAGGGAGAAGGCCTCCGGGGTGAGGGAGGCCAGCAGCTCCAGGGAGGAGGAGGGGGGCCCCAGGCTGGGGACCTCAGGAACGGACTGTTCCTCCTCGGGCTGGGGTGTCTCGGGCAGGGGTGAAGAGAGGGGCGGTGGGGAGGAGGAGGGGAGCTGGGTGGACTGCGGGAGACTGGCTGGCAGCAGGCCTGGGGGCTCCACAGGGCCCGGCAGGCAGGCCACTGGGGAATCCAGGCCCCCGGGCGGCCGGATGCTGAGCTTGGCGATGGTGGCCTGGATGGAGCTGATGGGCACGTCCCCCCCGAGGACCAGGTCCTGGGAGTCCTGAGGGAGGTGGTTCTGAAAAGAGAGGTGGGTGAGGGCGGGACACAGGCTGCGCTGTCCCTGTCCCAGCAGGCGTCCCTGCCTCACCTTCTGGCTGATGCCTGTGCCAGCCAAGGGCCTGCAGGGTGGGGGCACGCCATGGCGCTGCAGGACCTGCTCCACGTGTCTCACCACCGCCTCGTGGCAGAACCGGAGGTGCAGCTGCAGGGGCACAG